GAGGTGTTTATGTCTAGATAGAACATACATTGTGGCCTGGTTTAGCATGGAGGGCAGGGGCGTATTCCTGGAGGCCATGCAACTGGCAAAAAGCTGTGTTGACACAGAGGTGACTACAGATCATATACACAGGTCCCAGTGTGAACCTTTCCAGTTGAATCTTCCTTTTGGGGTCTCTCAAGTGCCTGCAGACACTTCACCACTACCAGACTTGAAGGGATTGAGGAATGATGAGCTTAAAAGACACCATGATCTTTACCCATTTACGATTTAAAAGCCCCATTTTTGTAAATTTCATTGTTAATGGTTTGAATTCACCTCCCCAGATTCCAGTGCTGAATGCTGGTCCCCAGGAGGTGGTGCTGCTTTGAGAGGTGATAGGACCTTTAGGAGGTGGAGCCACGCAGAAGCAAGTCCTTGGGGGCGGGTATTAGACACCCCTCCCCCTTTCTGGTTTGTTTTCTCGGCTTCCAGTTAGGGTCAGTACTGATTTGAAAAGTCTCTGCGGCCATGAACTGAGTAGTTGTACCTTCTGTGCCATGACAGGGACCTTCTGAAGCCCATGAACCAAAATGAATCTTTCCTCAAGTTATATTTTCTTTCCTTTTTCCATTTCGTGTGTGTGTGTGTGTGTGTGTGTGTGAGTGTGTGTGTGTGTGTGTGATATGTGCATGCTTGCACGTGTGTGCTACACATGCGTGTGTGCCTGTGCCTGTGGAGGCCAGATGATGTCCAGATCATCTTGATCGCTCTCCCGCTGCTGATAAAGCTAGTCTGTCTATTCAGACTTCTCTGGGATGCCCTGTCTTCACCTCACAAGCTTACAGGCAGGCCACCAACCTATCCCAAATTTTCATGGGTTCTAGGGATCCAAACAATCCCATCACTTGCCAGGCAAGTGCTTTAACCACTGAGCCATCTCCCCCAAACCGTAAGCTGTTCTATTGGGTGCTGTGTTTACAATGTGACGAAAGTAACTAATATATTCATGAATACTCGCCAGGTGAAGAAATTGCCAGGGCTCATTTTGGGTCACAACTGGGTGTGCTAGTGAGGAACCCTGAAGCTTAAGTTCATCCAGCTCCCGGCAGATTGGCCTTAGCCTCCACCTTCCCAGCCCTACCCCAGCTCTCTTGGATGATGGTCCTCCCCTCCTGGTCTTCCTTGCTTTCAATCTGTTCCTATGAGTTAAATATCTATTTTGCAAATTTCATTAAGGTCTGAAAGGCCCTCCACAGGCTCCTGTTTTGATCTCTGGTTCCCCAGTTGGTGGCGCTATTTTGGGAGGCGACCAAAGTCACCTTATAAAAACGTAACTCAGGTCATGTCACACTTCTGTTCAGAAACCTCCATGGCTTCCCCCTCACTCCGAATAAAAGTCAAGTAACTCAGAAGGCTCTGCACAGTGAGCTGTCACTGCCTTCCTGACCTCATCTCTAAGCGGCCACCTCTCCCTCTGGCCACTCCAGACCCAGGAACGTCTTGTAGTTTCTGGAATGGCCAGGTATGCTTCCATAGTGCCCTCACCTCTGTATTGGTGTGGCCTTCACCACTTTCTCCACTTGTCCCCATGCCGTTGCCTCCTGCAGGGAAGCCTGGCTTGATCACCCTGTTTAAAATGTAGCCCCCCTCCACTGCTCCCTATTTCTCAGCCCAGCTTTCATATAGCATAAGGCACGTGGCCTCTAACGTATTCCATTTTGTTTGGTGCCTGCTCCTGTTCATAGCAGTTGACACACAGTGGCCAGTTTCTGGTAATCGCAGTAGTCTCTGCCTTCTACTTTCTCTTCCCTCACCCCACCAGAAGCCCACAGGACCACCTTCTGGGAAAAGGCAGCCTGAGGACAGTTACCAGAAGACCCGTTTCCCTAGAAGAGAACAGCAAGAGTGAACTGGCCACAGGAGTCTAGCTTCTGAGCAACTTGTGTTTGTAAAGAACCATCTTCTGGTGAAGTGAATCACCAGAGCATTGGGTCACTGAGCTATGAACCCCTCACCTCCTCCCCCTTCCCAGAGGTGTAATCCAGGGTCATTGTGGTATTAATAGGAAATTGCTGAATCAGTCATTTCTCTTCCCAATTCAAGGGAAAAATACACGTAAGAACAGAAGAGGCAGGAGAATAAAAGGAGACATTTGAAAGTTTGTTCTTGTTTATATTTTCTTCCTCACATTTTTTTTTCTTCTTCTTTTGACTTAAAGAAGATGAACTAAACCAAGAAATGTTAGGAGAGGGCCCATCGTGGTCAGGGAAGGTTGGCATTCTGGTCTGGCAGCTGAGCTTAGCACTCTCGCTCTCCGCCCCCCATATATATATAAAATCTTACAAGTCTGAAACATGTAAGAATACTGGCATCAAAGTTTTCAAGAAGTTTAAGAAGATAAACCAAAGAAATTACAATTCTACTAGAGAAAAGCGACCCCCCCCCCAACTGTCCTCCGGTCTTTTTCACATGGGCACTTTCAAATACGCGTGCTCGTCTTTATGGCTTTCTCACTTTGCCTTTTGTCAAATAAGTTTTCCATGCGACAGCTTCTTTTCTGCTTGTTTGAAATTTTAAGCATGTGTCATGGCCTATCCTGTGGCGACAACATATTTCATTAAGGTATTCAACTATGTTTTGGCATTAATGTTGATTGTAACTTTTCGCTCTTAGAGTGTTATGAACTTTTAGTGAGTATAGTATTTTTCTCTTGAATATATTCAAAGATCTTTCTGGGATCTAGAAGTGAGAAAACAGAGTCAAAATTGATGGCTCTTGTGGCTCTTGAAAGTCACATTACTTTCCAACAGATTTGCACCAACCTACGTTGATGAATGTTAATTTCCAATAGAGACTTTTCTCGTTTGTTGTTTTTACTGATTCTTATTTCAACGTTTTCTGTGTCTGTTTTCCCTCTTTCTTCTCTTGGAAGGTGCCAGTTCATTCTCACGTGTACACTTTATCTCTGGAGCTGTCTGGTAACTATTCTTTTCAAGGTTATAATAGAGATTTTGACACTTTCTCAATGCAGTATTTACCCAGTCTGTTTAAATATCTAGCTATATCGTCATTTAGAACAATGTGGCACTTACATTTTTCACTATATTTAGAAAATTGTGTGTGTGTGTGCATGTGTGTGCTGTGTGTAGAAATCAGAAGACAACTTGTGGGAGTTGGTTTTCTCCTCCTACCTTGTGGATCCTGGAATCAACCTCGTCAGGCTTGGCAGCAAGCACCTTTACCTGCTGAGCCATCATCTGCCCTCAATTTAGCACCCTTTAGATCTTATCACTGTCATTTCTCCTAGCAGGTGCACACTTAGAAAACTGTCTTACCTCCAGGGTGTTATAAAGACTTAATTCTTCTCTTTACTCCCTAATTTTTATCTCTGTAGCTATTATTTTCATTTTGGTATATGGTATGTGAGTCAAACTGGTTTCATCCGTAAGCGCTACCTACTGTAATTAACTAAGACTCCTTTAATTGGAAGAGACCCTCAGTAGGCCATGCCTATACTAAGTGCTCTCCACTGCAGGGCATGCACCCAGACTCTGTAGGGCTCCGCACAGCTCCAAGGAACTTGGAGGGCGTGTGGCTTGTGGAGAACAGAAGGGGAGACACCGGCATGGAGCGCGAAGAACACCTGTACATCCCGGAACTTGTTTCCATCCACAGACAGCATGGGGGAGGGGAACCCTTGACGTTATGAGCACTGGCCCCAGAAGCTTGCTTATTTTATTACACTCTTTTGTTGTCGTTTTGACAGAACGTTTTACTAAGTAGCCCAGGCTGGCTTTGAAAAGCTCATGGCAATCCTCCTGCCTCAGCTTTCTGAGTGCTTCAGATTACCGCACCCAATGAATAGAGTCACTTTAACTCTTCAAGAATGCAGGTTCTTTGCAGACCCATGTAATACATTTACAGGGCACGTGGGTGCAGAGTGCTGTGCTAGGCACCTGAATATACTGTGTGAGACGCACCCCAACGCACCCCCCCCCGCGCGCCATGAGCAACATCGACTGATGGAGGAAGGTCGAAGTGTAATTTACACGGAACACCCAGCGAGGAAAGGCGGGGTCCCACCTCCCCTGCTGCCCAGAAACCCACGACCACTCCAGGAGGCACATCACGTCTGGTTCCCACCGCCCACCGGGCTCGCGGCTGTCTCTCCTGCCGGATGCGCACAGCATGCAGACCACAGACCTGCAACCACGGGCTTTTTCTTTGCAGGGCACAGTCATCTTGATTTGACGCAGGTTTTTTTCCCATTGGGAGGCAGGTGAGGGGAACGTGCCATCCCCTCGACCTGGTGTGGCGCGCGCAACCACACCTCCTGGCCCTTGAGCAAGTGTCGCCTGAGTCTCAAAGTCTGTCGGAATGAACCCGCTACCCAGATCCCGGATCTGTGACGAGGGACGTCCGGCGTGGCAGATTCTCCCGGGCCGCCGGTCACCGGTTCACCTAGGGACACCCTCCTCCCGCCCCGTCCTCACCCCGTTCACCCTCCGGGCGGCCCCGCCCCGCTCCCTCCTACAGGACCGGGAGCCGAAGGGCCCCGGGATGCCCCGGGACTCGTGCTGGCCTCCCGTGTCCCCGCCGCCTCCAGGAGAGTCAGGGTCTCGGCGGAGAAAGTCCCCGTCGCTGACCAGCGCTGGGCGCAGAGGGAGGCATGGCCGTGCGCAAAGGCCGCAGCACCGGGCGCGGGGAAACCGCCCACCAAGCCACCCGCCGGGGTTTCGGACCCCAAAGCCACCCAGGAGCCTCCCGTGGGTGGGCTTCGCCACCGCCGGGGTTTCAGGGCCACCACGTGACTTCCACGAAGCGCGGGGCCCCAGGGGAAAGCGGCGACCCGGGTGGGAGCTGGGACCCCGGGGTGCAGCGGGAGGGCGGGTAGAGAGGAAGCGGGGCGGGGTGGGGGCGGGGCCGGG